TAAAGAATATTATTTGGAAAAAAGGAACGATGGTGACTTTTTTTCCTCTCACGGGAAAGGAAACTAGGTTACCATATATAAGAAGTTCGCCAAGTAAAGTATTCTTGGCGCAAACTGACAAAAAAAGTGCCAACATAAATTTGTGAATTTCTCCGTAAATTTCGCTCCAAATTTTATAAAATTTCATATTTAGGCGTAATTTGAGTCGTCGTAAAATCGAAATATGTAAAAAAAACTGGTATGTTATTTCAGAGAAAAAGTCCGATTTTGTGTCAAAATACCTATGTTAGAATAGTGCTATATATAAATCTAATATATATCCTAAGTCGCGCTTTCGAGACATAAAGAACGCAATTTGAATTTTGTCAATCGGCCCAGTAGTAGATCGGGAGATATAGGACTGTCCCATTTTTTTTTTTTTTTTTTTTTTTTTTTTGAGCAGTGTACATGGTCTTGACAATATTCATTTCCATTAAATTTCTCAGAGCCTGATTGATCCTAAGCACCATTTTATCAGTCTATTTTCTAGGTGTTGAGGTTCATAGTACCAAGTCATCAGCATATACAGCACATCCAATGTCCTTTACTTTTTAATTTTGTCTGGGAGATCATTAATATATACATTATAAGACTTGTGCTAATCACGCTTTCCTACGGTAGACACACAATGAATTTGTTTGTAATCAGAGATTTCCAATACATACCAAACTGCGCAAAATCTTTGAGTAATGAACATTCTTTATCCACCGGAGCATTTTGTCACTGATTCCCAGGCTTTTTAGTTTATAAATCAATTTAGATCTCCAAATACGATAGTATGGTGCTTTGAAATCAGCAAAAATTGGCACTAAATTTCATTGTTATCCAAACTGTCTTTAATTGCGTGTGATAGTCTTATGACCTGTTGACTGATAAATTATAAATCTACTCTGAGTATCTTCTAAAAGATCATGATATTCTAAATAAAAACACAAGTCTCTCATTGACCATTCTATCGATTATATTAGCTATATTATAGCTAATATAGAATTTAGTGATAATTATAGCTAATATAGCTACTAGAGTTTAGTGATACTGATCTGTAACTATCTGGACATTCTACTAGTTTATCTTTCTTAGCTATCGGAATAATGACAGATGATTTTCGCCAGGCTGCGGAAAAGTAAGAATTCCTAGAGAGATTGTGAAGAGTCAAGAGGGAATTCAAGGCCTCTGTACCTAATGTACCTATGCCTCTGTATTCTTGCTTGATCATGTTTCTTTTTCAAAGTTCCTAGTTGTTCGTCCAATCTTGCAAGAGTTGTTATACTCATTTAGCACTTCCCAGGTATGTAGGTATGGTAGCTATCTAGGTATGGTAGGATCCTAAGTATTTAATTCCTATTAAAATTTTCGGAAAATATAATGATGAATTAAATCAAAACAATTTCAACACTGTAATATCTGTAAACATAAAATCCTAAAAGAGAGAGTATACTTTTTTATGCTATTGTTGTTCGGCAACCATTCCACTTCTTTACTGTGCTTTAGTAAGTAAAATGTAATAAATTTTACACTTTTCCAAGCAAACTTCGCATACGAATTTACAGATTTAAATCACTTTACTGTTCCTGGTTTAGCCCTTGAAATCTATGACCCGCGGGTCACCCTCATAATTTCAAGTGACCCACGCGAGTTCCGAAAACGATGTATAATATATAAAAATAAATTTTAAAACATAAATATGAAACGAGGAAAAATAAATTATAAAACATAAATATGAAATATGAAACGAGGAATACATAAAAAGTAAACCGGAAATAAATAATAATAATAATATTTTTATTTGATTACGAAGTTTCAGTAAAGCACATGCATTTTATTTTTTAAAATAAAAATTGTAACCTAATTTCAAGAAGAATCGGTAAGTTTGGCAACACTGATTAGTAATCCATAATTCCAAAAAATTAGCTTTACCATTTTGTCCGCATCCGGTTTATAAGAGCGAGCAAATAATTTCCTGCATGAAATTTATTTTAAGTAAGAACAGGAGCAACTTAACTACTTAAAACTCGGATGCTTTAATTAATCTTAAGACGACCAACTATAAGCCAGACTTGACCAAACTGATGTCACTAGTTCAACATCAGGGTAGCCACTGATATCGGAAAGAAAAATAAAGTTCATTCACTTATGTTTGTTTTTATAATAATTATAATTGTAATTTTTTTATATTTAAAGTTTAAAACGCGTCATAATTATTTTCTCAATAAAATTTATCTTATTATTCATCAAGAAAGACTTTTTGTAAAATGAAAATACCACTGACCCGAAACGTCCTATTAATACACACATATTGGTTGATTTTGACCCCTCAGCCAAATAAGGTTGCCGACGCCTGGCCTAGGCCGGCGAGTGGTAAAAACCACTGAATACTGGTAGTTCGATCCGGGATTCGGCTGGTTGCATGGGCGTTTTCGTGGGTTTCCCCCATGTGTAACGTGGATGTGAAAGAGTTTACCTTAAAATGTCCTCCACGGGCATCGCTCTTTTTCCGTGTAGTACCTAAGGGCGGAGCACGTAATAAGTTTTTTTAGAAAAAGACGCCTGGTCTAAAGAGAGCAAAATCCTATAAAAGTTCAAAACAACAGTTTAGTATTTCGGTGTAAAAACTGTACTAATTATTAAAAATATAGGTCATCGCAATGAAAATTAATTACGCATATCTATGTGAATTTTGCAGGTAAAGGTATGGAAATTTTGGCATTTAACCTACTAAAGTAAAATGAATATTTTACCAATACAATTTTCACTCTGCAGAGATTTTACATTGCAACCTTTTGAAATGTTGGAACTGTCTCCTTAAAACTTTTCCCTCGATTGTTTTTAAACTGTGCATGAATGTATGCGTCTAAGATTCATATTAAACCAGTAAATACATCATTACAGATTAGTTTCATACTAGGATAAAAGCCTAATTTTATTTCATCTCATAATATAAAAATAGCCCAACATGATACGCTGAAAAGAAGAAACAGCGGAATTAACTACGCCGGGGAAAATAAAATAGCAGTTGTCATTGCAATCAGAAATGAGAAGACGGCGCAATGGGAAGCCTGTGGGATGAACGTAATTTATCTTTCCATGACTGAAAAAAAAAAAATTATATTTACTTGCAGATGTTTAAAATAAAAAAATAGCGTATTTAATGCGATGAGAAATGAAGGCTGACGTGAGAGCTTTGAAGAAGTGGAATTTTTCTCTCCTTTACCTATTTATATTTAGATAATAATTATGGAATAATGGTTTTTTCATAAGTCCATTCTTGGATCTTTTGAGCAAGTATTCGAAAGCTTATTTATTCAACTTCCCTCAAGAATAATTTTTAGTATTTAACCCTTTGCGGCACAGTGTGTCCGGTCTGGACACACCTAAAAATTTCCTTCTGTACGCACAGAAAAATTGAAGGAAAAAGGATATATAGGTTACTCTGAACCTTCTTTATTTATAGTAGATGGCAGCTCAACACAAACCAGTCCATATATTTTAGCCATGTTTAGTTTTTTAAGACCCTCATTTTTCAAAGAAATCTTCCAGATTTTTTTTAAGGTATAAAAGGAATTGTTTGAAAAGAAATTTCTATGTTATTTTTTGGCTGTATCCTAATCTCCTTATTCTATATTAGTTTTAAATTTTTTACCTTGAAATCTTGCCTAAAATCAAACGGCGAACCCTAGGTGTGCCCAGACCGGGCTCCCCGATAATCTAGGCAACTGAGAGTCTGTATTCTTTGTTTTCTTGCATCTCATCGGTCAGTTTATTGACAGCAATGCTCGTTTCAGCACTCTTTTCGAAGCTCTATTCAATCGGTGTGCCACTTGGGGCATACCCACAGAATTAAAACGATAAGTGCTATCTTCATAAAATTTTACTTGTGTACTCCTCTAGGCTTAATACTTTTTTTTTTTTTTAATCAAAACTTTGACTTTAAAAGGTACCGTGCCGGAAAGGGCTAACCCTTTGAACTGGAGAGGTGACTCTCGATCACCACTTGATTTAACGCGATAATTCGAGCTGTAATGATGTTTATTTAGGTTTGCTTTTAACAATATCGCTTCATGAGTGTATTAAGCAATACATGCGTATAAAACAACTTCCAATCTTTAATCTTAAATGCGTTTTTTAGATCGACGTTTGTTCGAACCACTGCCGTAGCTACGGTAGGGCAAGGGGGAACATCCGTCCCGGGCGCAGTATCCAAGGGGCGCCAAATTAATGTTACGAAATTTTAGAATAAAACGTTTTCCATTATTGGCAATCAAAAGGGGGCGCAAAATCTTCCTTTCTTCTCGGGCGCTGAAAACCTTAGCCAAAAGAATGCCTAACAATACATATTCTTTGCCTCAGCTACGGCTCTGGTTCGAACTCAACAGTGTTGGCAGTAGGAATATTATTTTCAATATTACGGAACCCAGTAAGCATGGAGTACGATAAAGGAATCAGTTCAAGTAAAGATGAATTCGATTTTTCGTTGATGAAAAACGAAATTAGGTCTATGCATAGATTGCTTGACGAGAGAGAACGAAAGCAGTGACGAAGATAATGATGAAGTAAGAAGATGGAGAAAATCCAGAGTAATTTAATAGTGAACGTGAAAGCATGATAAAGAATGTGGCAGAAGAGACAGAAAATTCAGAATGGATAATGTGCACAGAATGTGAAGAAATACCGCAAAGAATACCGTGTGTATCTGGCAAATGAGCCGCAGGACCACAAATATTTTCAGACATAAAATAATCCTTAGATTTCTGTGAAATCATTTTAAGTTAGCTGTAAGAAACTAACCAAATATGCGAAAACATATATACGTCTCCATTTTCTGCATCAGCCGAGCGAAAAATGGTCTCGAATACAAAGGGTTAATAACTGAGAACCATAAATTTTAATGCTTTTCTCTGTAAAATTTATAAATGACTGCAATATCTGTTGATGATTTTTTTTTTTTTTTTTTTTTTTCCCAGAACTAAAGGCGGCCTTTTCCATGCTTGATAAAAACCAAGATGGTCGAGTGAACGAAACAGAGATCAAATGCATGTTGGATAAACTCGGAATTGTTCTTACAGACACCATGGTCGGGAAGTTGATAGATCAAGCCAGTAAGAGAGGTATGTATACAGTATTCATATGCATTGATATGAAGATATAAAATTGCTTAAAATAACTGGATTCAACAGATGAAGTTGCTAAAATATCGTCAAATAGCTTTTCATTTAAGCAATTTTTAGCTTATGTATTATCAAAAGAAGGATCCGCGATATCAAAAACAGAATTTTCGAAGTTTAATTCAAAGTGGAAAAAATAATAAGGCACTGCTTTTTAGTATCGACGATAGCATTAATATTCTTTTGCCCAATCTTTCCTAATCTTAATTAATTTAGTCACAGGCTGGACTTGACAGTTTAGTCTACTGTACACGAAAAGTAACAGAACTTAAAATGTGTGATTAATTAACATAAAATCTTAGCCTTTTAAATTTAAAAATGAAGTTATATTTTTAATTTCGATTAAATTTTTAATTTACTTTCTCGGTCTAACATTCAAGAATTAATTGAAGAAAATGGTACTTACATATTAACGCAACCACCTTGGCTCAATTCCCGATTTTTTAAAGCCTGAAAGGGTAAGAGTACTTATCGGGTGCAAGTTGGTGGCTTTCGCGCTTTTTTTTAAGAAAGTTTCCCAAACTAGCGATATTTATCGTAAGTCGGTAAATATTATCAACATATGAAAAGAAACTATAGTTTAGTAATTTAAAATTCAGATTTGAATGGTTAATAAGGATTACATGATGTATTAAAAAAATAAAACATATTCTTTAAATCTTCTGTATTTTTTTTTTCCCCTGTAGTACACAGCGATTTGTTTTCGCTTTAAAAAAAAAAATCAGAAAATTGCGGAGATTTCTGTGTTTCGGCAACGTATATCCTCGGCAGCAGCGGCTATCTACAAAACGCATTTTTTCGTTCTACCTTTTAAAAAGTTTTCAGAAAAATTCTGTGTTCCTGCAAGAATTTAAGTGCAGTTTTTTTCCCATTGCTGACATATTCCACAAGCTCATATTTTAAAGCTAAGTCAAAAATATTAGGATTTGTTTATAAAAAACGTTGGAACCTGGAATACGACAAAAAAAAAAAAAAAAAAAAACCTACGAAAATGGTGGCGTTGCTTGACTGAAGGACTGTTATGGGCAAGATTCTCGGAAGAACGGTATGCGCGTGGTTGCCAGAGTTTGGCACATATTGAACATTTGGCGACATCTATTAAGGTCGTTACGTTAATACGTGAGTGCCAAGAAAAGGAATTAAAAATTATATACAGTTATTAAATAAATAATGTATGATTATTAACTATGAGCTGAATTTTTTTTTTTTTTTTTTTTCCTTTAAAAAAAAATCAGGCAAAATTTATTTTCTTGGCAAATGACATTTTATTAATTTAGAAGTCAAACAACAAAAATCAGTGTTATATTTTCAAATTTTCACAGGACTAGTTTCGATGTCTACATTTAAAATATATACCATTATAATGTAAGATACTAAAAATATGCTTTGGAAGTCCAAGATTTCCAGATGAAATGTATTTAAATGCTATTTAAAAATAATTTTTGGAAAGCGTTTTATAGATTTAGAATCCAATTGAATTTTTTTTTTTTTTTTTTTTTTTTTTTTTTTTTTTTAAATTTATGACTGAAGCCAAAGCCAATTTACCTAAATTTTACTAAGTATACACATGAAAAGCTAATTTGTTATAATTTTCTCTTTATACTATAGTGTTATTATATACGTCTGAAAACTGAATGGCGTTTGAGAAATATGTTTGCAATATGTTATCCATTCAAAGAAAGTTAATTAATTCAAATGCAGCATCACTGTGCAAATTGCGTGTACATAAAAAGCTAATTAGGTTTTTTTATCTTTAGAGTATTATGTTATTGTGTGTGTGTTAAAGTTACCTCTATAACTGATATATATATACTGTTCTACGCTATAGTTGCAGGATCTAAGTACAATAAACTTAAAGCATTTAAAGTTGAAAGTAAATTGGAGCCAAGGAACAATTTTAATAATTGCAACAAAATAAGAGGTTTGACACAATATCTAAACAAATTAAAATAAGAATTCATAGTAGTACGAATTCGATAAATAAAAATGCAAAAGGGAAAAAATATACAAGATAATAAAATTAAAAAATTAATTTCCTTTTACTGAAACTCCAATTCAGAACTCATCAGGAGGAAAATGAACTAAAGTTTCATAAAAGTCGATTAATGTCTGGAAAACGTGTTTCGTTCTCCTGGTTCGCTTAAGATCAAAAACCGAAACAAGAATGAATTAAATTTTCATTTAAGACAGGAAAATTCTTATAAAACCAAACTGAGATTCGGAATAGGGAAAATCCTGGTACACTTGAGATTCGATTTTTGCGGTTTTATACGAATTTCATTTCTTAAATGAAAATTTAATTCATTCTTGTTTCTGTTTTTGATCCTAAATGAACCAGGGAAAAAAAACACGGGATCGAGACATATTATTCGATTTTTATGAAACTTTAGTTTATTTTGTCCTGATGAGTTCTGAATTGGAGTTTCAATAAAAGGAGATTAATTTTAAAATTTTATTATCTTATATATTTTATCCTTTTTGCATTTCAATTTATCGAATTTTTACTACTATGAATTCTTATTAGTCCAAAGGGATTTCAGTCCCGAAGGACTATTAGCTTTCGTTTTGGCATTTTGCGTCGGACTCATAAATGTCGGTTCACTTTTCAAACTGTTGCCACAAATGTTAGAGTCCTGCATTATATTTGAAGAAATTAAATAATGAAAAATCTGCATAAATGATTGTATATTTCTCGCATTGTGATAAAACAATGGTACATAGAGCCATCGAATTTTGAATTTTGAATGACGAAATCCTACTGCGAATATGGCATGTGAAATCCCAAATTTAGAATTTGTTTTATTATAGATTTTATATTTTGTAAAACTTGACGAATTTTTGATTAACAAACTCAAGGATTTCAAAGCGAGAAATGGCAACGTTATATAGAAAAAAAAAATACTTTTATCTCCAGCTCGTGACTCTGTATATCGGAAATTCTAAAGATATGCTAATTTAAAATTATTTTGCGATATTGCTGTTGCACTGGATCTTATGGTTTAAGTGCGAGGAACATGATATTTAATAAAGAAAGGTAACACTACAAAACGTTAAAAAAACGCCCCTTTGGACGTAATTTAAAATCTGAAAAATTTCAGATTTTTTTTTTTTTTTTTTTTTTTTTTTTTTTTTTTTTTTTTTTTTACTTTGTTTAATTTTGATTTGTTTAAATATTGTGTTAAAACTTTATATAGGTTGCAATTATTATATTTTTGAGGAATTCCCTTGCTTTGACTCCGATTTACTTTTAACTTTAAATGCTATAAGTTTATATGTACATATTTATATACATATACATATATATTTTAACTTTAAATTTGCTTTTTACGTATGTACATGTTTGTTAAAATTTAAATTTCATTCCTTGCAGCAATGGCGCAAAGAATTAATTAAATTAATTAAATTTGTATTTAAATTCAATTTATTCTTTGAAACCATATATATATATATATATTTGAATTCAACAAATAATCTCTATTCGTATAAAGCTAATATAAAATTAAGATTTAATTAAGAAAATTTAATTGCAAAAAAAAATAAAAATAAAATTTATCATTGCTGCGAACTAATTTACAATATCATTTAAATTCTAAGAGCATATGTAAATTAAGTGCACGTATCTAAAACCATGAAAAAATATATTATTCCAAAAAATTAAATTGCACAAGCGAATAATTGTTGAGCAGGCCAAACTTATCAAGGGGAAGTTGCCTCCAAAAATAATTCTTCAATTACTCAATTTGTGTTTCATCATCCATATAGGCAAGAGTAAAAGTAAAATTCAAAACCAAAAATAAAACCAAATTGTAAATTACTAAAAAAGAAATTTAAACAGTGGAATTTTGTGAAAATAGCAAGTAAATGACTAGAGTTAAAATTACTTAAATGTCAATTAAGAGTAGAAAACCAAATTTTAGAAAACCAAAGTAATTTAGAAACTCTTGCCTACACGAATTATGCATGTCAACCTAAAATAAACTACATACAATCAATCAAAATATGAAAATAATGATAATAATTAAATGATTATATACATATGCACATATATATATGTAAACATTTAATTATACTTTGAAATATAATAATTATAATAGGAGTATAAACCTTTCTTTTGATTATGTAAATGGGATGTACTTAATCTCCTTCATGACAAAGTTGTTATGCACTATGTTTTTTCGGGCTGGAACAGGTGACAGGTTATTGAGTGAAGACGAATTCCTTGCTTGGATGGCTCGTCAAAGTGTGCAGGATGACGTCATGGCTGATCTTATGGCCGCCTTCAGTGTATTCGACAAAGACAGGAATGGTTACATTACTCGGGTAAGATTAATCATTCATCTTACGAGCGTGATCTGGTTTCTAATTAGTAAAATCTGAACTCAGTCTTTTATATTTACTTCAGGATGAACTCCGAACCGCCATGGAAATGATTGGTGAACCGATGTCTGAAGAACAGTTAGATCTAATGCTAAGAGCAACAGACATTGACAAAGACGGAAAAATCAATTATGAAGGTATGCTTTTCCTTATAATTTCATTGTAGCCTGCAGGACAAACTGTGGAATCTATCCAATACTTGTACAAGGTGCGGCAGGGAAACTACCTTATTTTAAAAATGAAGAACACAAATAGTATAATCGATATCAGTTTAATTTTTTTTTTCAAGTTATAGAGAGACACTTAAAAGTTTTTTTTTTCAATTGCGATTTAAAAATAATATCATTAAGGTGGCCTCCGTTCTCGTCAATGCATTGAGATAATCAAGTTTTGAAGTTTCTTTCCACTTTTACCAGTATATCAACGGGTATGTTGTCAATAGCAGCTTGAATATTGTTCTTCAGTTGAGCCAGGGTCTTTGTACGTTAGAGATTTCAGATAGCCCCACAAAAAGAAATCACACAGGGCTAAATCAGGGAGCTCGCTGGCCACTGACAATCGCTTCGTAAGGAGATAAGGCGTCCAGAGAAATGTTCTCCAAAAAATCATGGTCCAATGATGTCTATTCTGGACAATGCATACCAAACAGTCACAGGTTCTGTATGGAGGGGCTGCTCATGAAATTCTCGGGGATTCGTGCCACTCCATTATCACATATTTTGCTTAATGCATGCTGCAACCGGAAAGATGAAAATGAGTCTCATCGTTAAAGAACGCAAAGGCATCATGAGGCGTGTTGTCAAGAACGGTTTTGCATACATTTTTTCGTGAAAGAAAATCGCGTGGATTAAGTTTTTGCACCACTGCCAATTTATATGGATGAAAATGCAGTACGTTGAAAAGTACGTGTTATTATCGGAGAACGCGCGCTCCTCTCTCGTCCACTGCATGATCGGTATAGTTCGACCGTCTCATCCGCGACCATGAGCGCAAACACGCATGCGCCATTCGGACCGCATTATTCTAAAAATAGGGTGGAAGGTTAGGGACTTTTTTTCCTTCCAGCATAGCTCTTTCCGGAGAAGAGAAGACCTTCCACCGCGCAGCAAGTAATACCACCCCTTTTGGGCGAGTGTTTTGACAGAATGCCAACCAGGGTTGCGCTTCAGACGGACGAACTATACTACACCTACATGACATAAAACTTTAGATACCGCTCTTTTTAATGAGCGCCACCCCACCCTTATCGGAATAAATGTTGCTAGATGGCGCGCGTTTCAAATAAGGAAGTTTTCCTGCCGAGATACGAACATTGATCATCTAAACTCGTTAAAATTCTAATAAACAGTTGTCGGCTTAACGTTTGGAGAAACAAGCTGTATATGCGAAAGTTTCTCGAAATCTTTCGATCGTTCCTGTTTTTATATTCGGTAATTTAGTTTTTGCATCCCTGAGACTTCTTTTAATATTTGTTCCCGTCTTCATTTATCTGAACTGAAAGTGTCCATCTTTTTTCTAGTTTTTCCTTTTATGCAGTCCTTTCAGACTGAACCACAAAATCTGTTCTGTATATACATGTATTTTTCCTAGTAAGAATGGAAAAAATTGACTTTCAATCTGGGTTAAATTGACAGCTATAATTTTTTTAAAAGATGAAATAGGTGCTTAGTGGTAATGTGGTAAACAATTAAAAGCATTTATTAAAGAGTATTATGTAGGGTTCATATTTTAGTGAAATACTTTAAAAATTCAAAATAAATGCACTGCACAAACTAATATTGAATTCTATAATGTGGAAACAGTGGGAAATTGACTCTGGTGTTTCTTAAGTATTTCACCAAAGGTGAATGTATTTACTGTTGCTGATAAGCAGACGATTAACTTTCGTCCCACAGTGATGTCAGTACGCCCCGGACGACTACAACTACAGCATATCCGGCACAGTCCCGAACATTCTTTAACGTATTACCTGCTATCTCCTTTTCCTGATTTGTGGCAAATTTTGGCTGAGATATTCTTGTTTTTATTATTTTTATTATTTATAGCTTTTTATATTGGTTCGTACAGTATTTCATTACCTCCAAAGCTCTAAGAAAAGACCAGTGTATTTGTGCGTTTCAGGTTCTGTTACCTTCCAAGAAAATGATTCAATAATAAGCAAGATTTATCGACTTGTTAAGTTTCGATATCAGAAATGAGAGTCAAATAAGAGTAAATATCAAGTATCATATTCAAACAGTCCATCTAATCTCAAAGATACTGAAATTTTATTCTTTGAAATTGAATAAAACCTGTCAATAAAAAGACGCGTGTTGAAATTCAAACTTTGTCAGACTTAGATAAAGAACTTCCTCAAAAATATACTTAGGAGAGAGAACTGTTAGTAAAGACTGATCGGATCTTGCAATCAAGGGCATACTGATGCGGCAACATAAGGAGCTCCACAGAGCACGAAACGTGGAGAATTCACACTATATCTAAGCTCTTGCTCTAAATTAAATATTGATAAGGTCTTGAAGTTTGGATAATTTTTTCAAAAATTATCCATTTCCCAGCATTTTCGTAAATATTATCAGGTTCTTTCGGCAGATTTACGAAATCATTATTCAGACATATGAACTTCATTTTTAACAAACGGAATTAAATGAGGACACAGTAATTATATACATTTTTATAGAACAAAAGCTTGTATTAGGAACATAATATACAATTAATGATATAATTTGGTAAATCTGATAAAAGAAGCTCCAATGCTGAAAACCTCATTCTGTTAAAATTCATTTCCCAATCAGCGCTCAGTTCCCCCCCCCCCTCCTAACACGTTGTTCTAAAAACCGCATCCGTGCTATATGAATAACGTTTAATAACATATTAATGTAATTTATCATGTAATATTTACTCATGTAAACGAAAGCAAATTAATTAAGTTTACTTCAGAGTGTGGTAATTAGCTCATTTAATTGCCCATATTGGGAAGAACGCTTATATCTTCAGCTCATTTATGTAAAACTTGTTATTAATTAACAAACTAAACTATTTAAGACCAACAAATGCAGTTCTTAAGAATGTTTTTTAATGTGATTGATTTATCAAAATGCATTTAATTCATGCTGTATCTAATTAAAATATTCATTTTCTTTTTATTACTTTTTGTTTTATTATTATTATTATTATTATTATTATTATTAATTGTAAGTCTCGCTCAGAGATCAGAATCATTTTGTATGTGAGGCTTTCTTTTATTGAATCGGCATGGTATTTTACTGGGAAAGAAAAATTGTGTAAAATAATTCTTAACATACTTTAATTTCCTAGAAATATCTTTTTTATCTAAAGTGATTTGGGATATCAAAAAATTAATGTGACTGCCGACGACATATTTTTAATAGAAAGAAAATAAGGCTTATGATGCATTTAAATTGGTATACATTCTTTTAATTTCAGTGCTGTGAAGTCAGTATATTTATTTTATCGAGAGAAAAATTATTCGAAGGGCATTATGATGAAATACATTCTAATTAATTTTATCACGACTGCGAACTAACTGAATTTGTTATATTTAAAATTAAAAAAAAAAAGAATTATAAAACGCAAGGGATCATTAATCTGGAAATTCCGATTACTAAGATTTAGTATAAATGCAAAGAAATTACGATACGAGTATCTGAAGAAACACGATCAGTTGAAGCTCTGAAAATCAATCGGACAGCATACGCGTAAGTGAGCTTTTATAGTGTTTTGTCAGATAATGATTTTGAAATATAAGAAAACCTCATAGAATTATACGGAGAAGCTCACAGCGTACAGAAGACAAAGGAAAAAGAAAAAAGAAAGAAAGAAAGACATATAGCGTGCAGTGCGCCCTTGACTTATGACTTTTTTTTTTTTTTTTTTTTTTTTTATTAACTACTAAGATTTTCGCCAGTAGATCCCATTAAAGTGCACTAGGCAAAGATATTTTCAAATAAATGGTACTAGGGAAGTACCAACACCCGTGGGCGAAGAAAATTCAGCTGCGTGAGCAGGCATTTCTTAATACTTACGAAAGTAGGCGTTCATCATAAAAATTGTGCAGTGGTAAGCAATGGCATTAAATTGAAGCATGCAGGCAGGTCAGTGAGTTGTATGGCAAATGCAGGTGGTGAGTGCAATATAGCTAGTAAGAGTGCAGGATAAGCAATAGTGAGACATCATGAAAATGGCGCGAAGACAGTTTGAAGCTGTGAATGGTATAAGAGTTCAAAGTCCTTCAGAAGTATGCAGTAGCTAGAAAGGCCGTAAAAAGTTCAAAAGTTCGTAGAATCATACGATAAAGTAAAAATTCATACAAAATAATTTAAAAAATGAAATAGTAACATAAAAATCTTGAATAAAAAATTTTCTTGATTAACATAAGTATAAGATGCAACACAAATAATAGGAAAGAGTCCAATTTCAGAGTTCAAGTAAATTTTAAAATTAAAATTTACAAGTTACCACCATGACGAATTGTGATGAATTGTCCTTGGGCGTTTGACAGTGTATTCAATGGTTGGATCATAATCCAACATTTGTTTAATTGCGTTATACTGACTATGCTTCATCTTCTCGAAGAAGTTGTGAGCTGTCATGAGTATAAAGTTATGCACAGATGGAATATCCAGGTCGTAATGAATTATAGAGTTTCTCACGTACCAAGGTGCATTCACAATGCTACGTAGAATTTTATTTTGAAAAATATCCAGTTTTTTTGCGCTCAATTTTATTGGCAATTGCCCAGGCCGGCAATCCATATAGCATGATCGGTCGAATTAGAGATATGTAAAGCATTTTCTTTATTTTTTAGACTGAGCTTCGATTTTTTGCCGATAATAGGATAAATTGCCATGTAGGCTGCATTTGCTTTGTTTAAGATATAAGAAATATGATCTTTGAATATGATCTTTGAAGTTGAGAGACTTATCTATGTAAACACCTAAATATTTATAGGAATTAGCTACAGGGATTAGAGTTCTATCTAAGTAGATATCAGTATTAACTCTTAATCTTGTTTTGTATCTCCGATAGAGCACAATACAACATTTAGAGGCGTTGAGCTTAATTTTCCAAGTGTTGCACCAGTGATTGATCATATTGAGATGCATTTGTAAATTACTTAGAGCGAGCTGGGGACTTCTGGATTCAGTC